GGAAAGCTATTTTGCCTAACACAATGGAACTAAACCCCTCATTACTACAGTATCTGAGCACCTTCAGCAGAAAATCAATAGTGCTTTTGGGATCCAGAATCATTTCTGTCCCTAAGAAACAGCGACTGAAAAGGATGGAAGTTATTCTTAGCAACAAGTCAGATGTTAACTTTTTCAGCGTTCTACAGGGAGAGACTAAACCAGTTAAACTGCAACTGCTAAGGCTAGTAAAGATTCCTTACCATCCATCGTATGCCCAGAGTCCATTATAAAATGCCAAACTGATGGAGCTAACAGAAATCTTACTGTCCTTGAAAGAATCTTTGAAGTTCTCAGTTTTGCCTGCAAGGAAGATGTGGATTACTGATTAGTGCTGTAACCCCACCAAATGAAGAAACTTTCCAGCATCTGTTCCGTGTTTTGAAGCTTCTCAGTGTTAAAATTAATCAATACCCTCTCTTGTCACTTGACCTTTAGTGCTGCATTTCCCACCCCAATCCCCCACACCTCCTCCTGACAGGAGTCACCACAGGTCCCAAGGGATGCAGAACTCACACCCTGACTAAGGATGTTCAGGTCTGTGCCTTAGGGCAGTGCCACTTCTGTCAGTGGGGAAATTTTTAACAGCCATAGCAGAAGCTAAAGTAATTTTTCCAAGTAATGTATGTTTGATTACCTTGTGCGAGGAGAACAATTCCACTTACAATAATGATCGCGACAATGATCATTTTAGCAGCCGTGAGGAAGTTCTGGAGGTAACTTCCCAGCTTCACACTCAGGGCATTCACTATTGTAATTACCACTGAAAGACAGAAAATGAGTCTTTCTGCATTAAGTTTATCAGAATCCAAAGAAGAGTTGTCTCTCAACATACACACACCACCCCCTGATTACTGCACTGCTTTCTCCTCGTGCTGTTGGTCTGTGTCATGTACAGTTTTTAGCATAGTGTGTTTGGATAACTCAGAAAATAGCAAACTCACAGTTTTCTGGATTGGAACTTGATAGTAACTTCAAGAAAAAAACTACACTGAAGCTGCACAGCATTCTGCTGAATACAGAAACACTATTTCCACATACTTTTTTCTTCCTTTTCTGCTTGAGATAAACATTATTAAGACAGATAGAACTGTGTAATGAAAGAACAAAACCACCTTGTACTAGGAGCAAACCGTTTTAAACGATCCTTTTTAGATACTGTTGAATTAGTCCTCGTGGGAAGGACTCGCTGTACTGTGTCCTAAAGATTTCTGGTCTCTTCATGAAGCTGATCCTCAGGAAGTCTCAGGGTGTCAAAGCACACTCAGTGATGGGGCCAAACACAAGGCACTAGGTGATTTTGGGTCTGCTCTGCTGTGCAGAGTGTGAACGACAGAATTTAGGGGTAGGAATGGACCTTACAGATCACCCAGCCCAACCCCTGCCCTGGGCAGGGACACCTCCCACCAGAGCAGGTTGATCAAGGCTCATCCAACCTGGCTGTGAACACTGCCAGGGTTGGGGCAGCCACAGCCTCCCTGGGCAACCTGGGACAGGGTCTCCCCACCCTCACAGGGAAAAACTTACCAATGGCAGCTGCTGCAAGGCACTTGATGACAACCTGGGGCGGATCACAGCCCGGATAAAATGGAGCTGATGCGTATTCTGCAAAGCTGAGGCAGATGATTGCAAAGGAACTGGGTTTTGTGACCAGTAAGCTTGTCCAAGAAAACAGGAATGCTGGAATTGGGCCAAATGCCTCCATAAGGTAAGGATATTCTCCCCCAGACTTCGTGATCATCGTGCCAAGCTCGGCAAAGCACAGTGCACCTGAATGACAAGAAAAGCAGCTGTTACTGGCTTGGTTCACACACTTGAACCCACCACTGCCTGGAACACACCATCACTTTTTAGCAGGTGGAAAAGTTCAGGGAATGGATATATAAAGTACATCATTACTCTCTTCAGGGCTCTGTATGTTTTACTGTATATGCAAAATAAAATTTGAATTCCTTGTGAGGAATTGGAAGAAACACAGTGCAAAATGTACTACTGTTGGTGTTTCAGACATCACCAAAACCAGTGCAAACATTCTGATCTCATATTAGGTTTCTGTTTAAGAAGCCAATCCTGTAAGGGGCATGTCAGTGAGAACTGCACTGGCTGACCTACCTTCTCAAAACCTGAAAGAGATAAAGGACAGTTTTGAAGTAAAACGTCTGCTAATCTCAGCTCCAAAGTACAGTGATTCTTCCACGTCTATTGCTGCATCTTGCATTGTTTGTCTACACTGTGTCCCTTGATGTAATGCTCAAAGAAGTAGTTTTACATCATGAACCATTCTGAGGTGCTCGGTGCTAATCTTTCAGGTTTCAGACTTA